AGGAGCTAGAACTTTGTTGTATGTTTTCTCTGCCCCCTTTTCCCACTTCAGCACTCTCTGTCTTCCATCCCATGGAGATGAGGTATTTCTAAGCCAAAGATAACCAACTGTGCATGCAATCTTTTTTTCTAAAGGTAGTGTGCACATTCTTCCTGAGCTCCTAGGAATATTCCTGGAAGTTGGATGTTGAATTACTTTTACCTGCCAAAAATGCATCTTACCATCAGGAGTGATTGTAAATTTATCACATTTCCTTCTCCTTGGCATATTTTAGTTTTTCCATAGAGAACAAGAGCCTTAAGGCTTTGATGGATAGAAACAATGTTGGTGGTGTATTATCACAAAGCTTTTTAATAAGGGCAATCAAAGAAAGATAGATTTTTAAAGCAAAAGATAGATTTTAAAAATCTCTCACATTTTCTTCATTCACATAATTTCGAACTGAGATCTGGCTGCAGCCATTTCTAACACTCTTTTCAGAAATAGTTACAGTAGTAAATAGCCCTGGCGGATGTGACTCAGTGGATTGAGAACTAACCTGCAAACCAAAGGGTCACCGGTACAATGCCCAGTCAGGGCACAAACCTGGGTTGCGGGCCAGGTCCCCAGTGAGGGGCGCACAAGAGGCAACCACACATTGATGTTTCTCTCTCCGTCCCTTCCCCTCTCTTTAAAAATAAATAAAGTTTTAAAAAACAAAACAAATAAGCAGTAGTTACAGCAGTAATTAGTAGATATTCATCAATTTGACATTCTAACATACACAATAAAACCATTATTTCAAAGGAAGAAGTGTAAGTGCATACTTAGCAGGAGGCAGTTCATTGCCCAAATTTAATAATCTTCCTATCATGGCATAAATTTAAAATACAGATATTAGCTAATGGGAAACAAATGATTAAATAAAGAGGATATGAGCTGGATTATAGGATAAGGGGGGACTACTCAGTTATTGAAATTGTAAATTCAGCAAGTCTATGAAGGGTATTTTAAATGGCACAGTGGAAGAATTAACCATATGGAAAGTAACAATGTGAAATTTAACAGATCCTGTTCTCGGTGTGGTGGGAAGTTTCACAGCAACATAAGCTTGTTCTGACTGCGCAGGCGCTGTTCGTTTTGGAGAGGGTGGTGCAGACCTGCCCGCAGAGGCAGGAAGCTGAAAGGAGTCGTATCTCGAGACCTCACCGTGCAGAAAAGGATGGGAAGTGGAGGCCAAAGGTTCTCTAGTGTGTCCAGTGGCACCTGTCACTGGTATAATGCAATAAGAGTTTCACCATGATAGCACTGACTTTTCTCAAAACTCAAAGGGCTTTTTACATATATATTTCTTCACCTTCTACAAATCCCCATGAAGTAGGGGAAAGCCACTAAGTCAGCCAGGGTCTCAGGATTTACTGCGGGGCAGCGTGGGTGAGGGGAGCCAAGTTGCTTGACAGTCAGTGGAGAGTTTCCCATTCAGCCAACTCGACAGCCTACTCATGTGCCTCATACTCTGTGCTGAGGGCCGGCTAGGGCTTTGTGAACAGAGTTGGGTCAGCGGACAAGGGTGCTCCCTTGTTCTCCACATTTTGGTTGCAGGAGACTGAGATAAAGAACATAACAAATAAGACCACTCCAGACAGTAATAAGAGTTAGGAAGAAAATAAAATTTCAATAGATAGTCATTTGGGATGGAGTGATCAGGGCAAACCTCTCTGGGGAGGTGATGGTAGACCCTTGGAGATCTCAGTGAGAACATGGCCACAGAACCACATAAAGCTTCAGTTTCCAAAACCTTAGTTTCACCAATATACTGTCTTGTGTGTACAAATCCTTGCACCAAGGCAAGCAGGACTGATAGTTTCTGTTCCCATTGTATAGATGAGAAGCCTGAGGCTTAATGAGGCTAGACTACATGCCAAGGTCTTTCCAAGAAAGGAGAGACTAACATATCTCCTGGGTGCAGTTCGACTCATATCTCCTGGGTGCTGTTACTAGTCTTCAGATCCTAAACCCAATGTTCTTTCTGGCTGTGGACACCATTCACAAAACCATATTGCATTCAGAGGCCAAGTATTTAATTTATCACCTGCAAGATGAGTTTTTTCACTTGAAATGCAGACACTCTAGAAGCATGATGACAACTCTAACCTGCAGCCCCCAGAACCTGAACCACGGGGACCATGGCTTTTTGAGCAGCTGTGCAGGTTGAGCAGGTCTGGCTTTTTGCAGTAACCTTACTGATCGTTCACATTCATGGGCTAGAGCTGTGTCCAGGATTGAAACAAGTGCTTCCAAGAAGATGAGAATTTCCATGGGGGCAAGAATGACTCACTGCCACCAGGAGCCCTCAGACAACTCATTGATCATTTCAACGATTACTTCTTAAACACCTGCTTTGCCTAAGGTATTGGTGTGCCAGGACTTCCCAGATGATGGAGGCAGAAATAATTAAATCACACCTGCAGAATACAGGGGCACCAGAACATCAGAAAACCAGTAGAAACCAGACAAATCAGATCAATGTTTTCCACCACTCCATCCTGCCACTTGATTCTTGAAGAGTCAGAAATGAACAAAACAAGGTCAGCCAAGAAAAATAACATCTCCATGTTTAGGTGCCAGGCTACTAATGGTAGCTGTCTGATTTCAAATTACTCTAACTCAAATTTTTCATTATAAGAAATTTACATGTGCAACCTATGAAAGAAGCAGATTGTGCCTTGCATTGTGACTGAGACAATTTAAAAACGCCCTTCTCATTTATACAGAATAATTTAGTTTATGTCACTGGTGGTCCTTCCTCTGTGGAATATAAATAAACTCTACCAGAAGCAAGCTGGCCCCACAGTAAGTTTAAATAGACTGCCAGGTTGCCAAATTAATGGAATGCAATAACAAATGAGTGGACACCAGGTGTACATGGTTACACCCACACAGCCCAGTTCTGTAGCTAGTGTATACACACACATACACACACACACATGCATACAGGTGTAGATACACTCGTGCAACTAAACAGTTGTGAATGCAAACAGAATCTCAGCACTGGAAATGAACAAAAGAATAAACAATAAAAATAAATATAGAAGTAAAAGAAATTACTTGTTGGAGGTACAAATTATAACCAATCTCTGAAATGTAATTCTTGGTGTTAGGAACCTGAAAACATTTCGCAGAATCTGAGAACAAAACCTGGCAATACCTTTTTTAAAAAAAAGATATATATATATTATTCAATATATATATTATTCATTTATTTTTTGAGAGAAGGAAAGGGAGGGAGAAAGAAAGGGAGAGAAACATCAGTGTGTGGTTGCCTCTCATGTGTCTCCTTCTGGGAACTGGCCTGCAACCCAGGCATGTGCCCTGACTGGGAACCAAACTTGTGATCCTTTGCTTTACAGGCCCATCCATGCTCAATCCACTGAGCTACACCAGCCAGGGCTGGCAATACCTTTTAGTTAATGCGATTTTAATGGATGGATCAGCTATTTTTTCCTCCGGAATACAACAGATTTCACAGGGCCTTTAGGAATCCTGGTAAAGACTAGAAATAGCCCTGGCTGGTGTGGCTCAGTGGATTGAGAACTGGACTGTGAACCAAAGGATCTCCAGTTTGATTCCCAGTCAGGGCATGTGCCTTGGTTGTGGGCCAGGCCCCCAGTTGGGGGCACACAAGGGACCACCACACATTGAAGTTTCTCTCCCTCCCTTCCCCTCTGCCTCAGGATGAATAAATAAAATCTTTTTTAAAAAGACTAGGAACAATTCCATGAAATGCCTACCCTAGCACTGCACACTCTCATGTGTGATATCAGCCCCATTTAAGATGCTAAATTAGGGTTTGGATGGAAAAGTGTACTTCAGGAAGAGAAGGCCACACCAATAACTTGGAGCAATTTCCCCACAAAATAAATTTCGTGAAAATAGTTTTTTTCTATAAATGCTTCTCATTTTTAATGAAGACAACACAGACATAAAACACATCATATTGCAACTCCTGAATGGGAGTCATACCACTTATTGACGGCCAGTAAATGGCTGCTCCCTGTGATAGACACAAACGTTCATTCAAGTTCAGGTACTAGAACAGTGTCAGGGTATCATGCAGACAGCTCGCGTAAATACATGAGGAATAACGGCACAGCTTCAGTAGCTTCTGTAATGTTTGGGTATGAAAACTTTGTCTTATCCAACTTTCGAAACATGGAATAAAGAATGTTTTCATATCAAATACATTTGCAACAGGTGGAGTTTTTTGTTTCTTTAAAAAGGCATCAAACCCACCTGTAACACACATGGCAATTCTTTTTTTTTTGTTACAAAATCAGAATATGTATTCTTTTTTATTTAATGTGACTGGATCGGAACATAGTGATTTCCAATATTAAATAGCTAAAATCAAAATAATATCTTTCTGATAAGTGTTTTTTATATCTTTAATCAAAGGAAGAAAAACTTGTCAGTTTAGTCTTTGGGCACTATATTATATTTTATCAGGTAGTTGAAAGTCATTAGTAGTTTTACAGTACAAAATCTTGAATTAGTTACCAACACGCTTTTATTTCTGCTAATTTCGAAATGTACTTTAACTGGAGGTACGGAAGGAATGTTACTGCTTATCAAACATCTTTTCTGGAAATTTTAACGCACAAAATTTCCAGATTTATATATTCTTAAATAAATTATTTTTTTAATGAAATAAAGAAAAAAGGCAAAGAAAGCCTGCCGTTTCTATTCTGCGTGAATAGCTCTCAGTATCTTCCAGGTGGGGGCAACAGTAAGTCAGTTTTGAGAGAAGATGGGAGACCAAGCTCTTGAAGCTCCCTGAGTCTAGTTACAGAGGAGGAAATGACTCCCTGGTGGTAGTGCCGTGAATAAAACAACCGTAAGTTCCCAGGAGCCCAGGGACTCTGCGGGGGCGCTGCGTGCGAGACGGTGGGTAGCAAGAACCACCGCTCGGTGCGCCAGCCACCTCCGCTCCGCTGCGACGGGCGCGCACGCGCGCTGCGCACCTGCCGGATCTCCCGTAGTTACTGGACTTTGCAGCGCCCAGCGGCCCGGCTCCAGCCGGTGCGGTGCCGGTGGGGAGTGGTTACCGCTCTCAGCGCTCCATCCTACTCACTTTCCATCGCCGCCAGAAAGCGGGGAAACATTTTTCTCCCGTTTACATCTCATTCATTCTTCTGGACAATGCAAGTGCATTCACGACTGCTGCAGCTCTCCGCGCGCGCATGCCCGCACCCTTAAACTCTAAAGTCACAGCAGGCAGAAGACCAGTGATCGGGCAGAGCGGCAGGGGTCCCACCCCCCTCTCCAGCTCCCTTCGCGAATATTCGGACTCTGGGAGGGATGGCTGAGAACTCTGGCGACGATGAGGGTGGTGCCCGAAGCAGAGGTTGATACTGTACTTTCGGAGAGATGGACTCCCCAGTAGCATCTCCGCCTCCTCGATTTCTCTTTCTGGCCCCGGGAGGAGGAGGCGGAGCGTGGAAAGCCCGAGAGGCTGAAAACCAAGGCCCCATTGTGGCAGAGCGACCAGGGGGTGCGCGTCAGGGGTCGCAGGGAGAGTGCAGAGAACCTCGCGAGCACCGAGCCAGAGGTCCCCTCCTCTCCGGCCTCGCGAGGCTGAAGGTGCACGCGCGCAGGAGACCTGTCGTGTGCCCTACGTGTCGCTCCTCCGAACTCCACCCGCTGCCCGGGTCCTCCGGCGGCCGCCGCCGCCCCCGACGGAGCCCGCGGCCGCGCCCTCGGGTCGGTACTTGAGCCAGCAGATGAGCCAAGTGACAACAACCGAGAAGAGTGCCAGAATGCTGGCCACCGACAGGCAGATGGGCCCCACGGGTGAGGGAGACCCGGTAGCTGGGGCCGCGCCAGGGGGCGCCCCGCCGCCCGGGGATGCCCCACCCCCACCCCCACCGCCGCCACCGCCGCCGTAGTGGTTGACGAAGATGAGGCCGGTGAAGAGCAGCACCACCATGGAGAGGAAGGAGAAGACGACGCACACACAGCCGGCGGTGAGCGCTGCGCGCTTGCAGTTGTGGCAGCTCTCGTAGGCGCCTGGGGCGCGCAGAGCGGCGCGGGCGCGTGGCCCACGGGCGGCTTCCTCCCTGGGTGGCGCTGGCGCGGCGGCCGGCGCGGGCGGCGCGGTCGGCGCGGGCGTTGGGCGGCGAGTGGGCAACGGCGGGAGGCGGTCCTGGGGCAGCGGATCCTGCGCGGCGCGCAGGGCCAGCGGGTAGGCCTCCGCGAGCTTGGTGTTGTTAGGCAGGCCGTGCACGCGGCTGTCCGGCAGCGGCGTGCGGTGGCGGCACACTGGGCACGCGATGGCGCCGGGAGGGCTGTGCCAGGGCGGTGGGCGCTCAGGCGCAGTAGCGGCGGCGGCAGCGGCGGCGGCGCGGAGCTGCAGCTGGCTCAGACACTCCTGGCAGAAGGTGTGCAGGCACGCCAGGAGCTTGGGAGCGCGCCGGTCCGCGTCGAAGTAGTTGTAGCAGATTTTGCACTCGTAGTCCTCGAACGGAGGGAGACCGGGGACTGTCACCACTGCGCTTCGGCCTCCCGAGTCCCGGTTGTCCCGGGATCCTGCCGCAGCGCCCCCGGCTCCTGTGGAGCTCCCAGGGCTGCTGGTTGGGCTTTGCTCGCCGCCGCCGCCGCCACTGCCGCTGTCGCTCGCCGGCGCTGCCATGGCATGATCCGCCCTTCATCGGGGGCCAGGTGAGGCGCCTTCCTCCCCCTCTGCCGCCGCCGGGTCGGCTCCGAGCGGGGAGGAGGCGCTTCCGCCTCCCCCCTCTGGCTGCTGTGTCCTGGCGGGGGAGGCACCGCTGGCTGAGCCCGGCGGGGGGCGCCCCGGCGACCACTGCGCCCGCTCCCACCAGAGGCGGGCGCCTGGAGTCCTCCCAGCCCTGGGAGCTTCTCTGCCGTCCCCCTGGGACCTCTCAAGACAGCGCTGCCGACAGCTTTGGATATTGTTTTTTCTTGGAATTGGGAGTTGAGGGCTCCTGGGGCGGGGGGCGGCACGTTGCGGGAAGCGGATTCGGGGTGCGGCCACTTAGAGATGTGGCGCCTTTGCAGCACCCCCGCCCTTCGAAGCCACTCTCAGGGCAGTGGGGGGAAGCCTGGTCTTGTTTTCCCCTCTACCTCGCCCCCACCCCTTTTATCCTTGTCCTTCCCAGGTCTGGGGCTGAGTCCCTGGCGAAGCCTCCTCTCCCCCCTGCAAGCCAGAGCTCACCGGTGATGTAATGCGCGACCCGCACTGGGAGGGGATGCAGCGGCCTCCGCGGCGGCGGCGGTTCCTGTCCATGAAAATCGTGATCTCATTTCTCTGTCCAAGGGCGAAAGCCAGTAATCACCAAGCCGTTTACACTTTCCGCTTTTATTACCAAAGCCCAGGCAACCCTGAAGCCTTCTTCTCAGAGTGGAGGCGGAGGGAGGGCTTGTACTTTCCTTTTCACCATTGGGAGGGAATTTTGGAGCTGAACAGTCCCTTTTTGCCTCCAGAAATGCTGCTTCCTGAGACTTAGGGAGACATGAAGATACAGGCTCACTTGGCCAGGTCTTGCAAAGTCCTGACGCTGACCGCAGGGGAGGGAAGTAGCTATTTCGCTGGTGCACAGGCGGCTACAGAGGCCGAGAGGGGGAAATATTGTCAAACAGGCTCACAGAATTTCAACGTCCACCCTAACCCTAGCCCCTGTCGTTCATTTCTCACCCTCGCCTCTTCTTCACTTCAGTGTTTAACATGCAAATGCAGAGAGCTGAAAACCACCTTTGTAACATGGGACGGATCTTCCTGGTTTTATTAGAAACCGAGTAGAAGCTCCTCTAAGCAGGTTAGCAAAAAAGCAGCGCTTCTGGAAGGGACAGTCAGTAGAATACGGGAGTGGTGGGTTTGGGGGAAATCTCTCGTGGGTGCTCTTCACATATCCCTAACCAGAAAGTTCTACTCCCCCTTCTCCAGGTTGGATCTCATCCTATGAAAAGAGACATCCCCTTCCCAACAAGAATGAGGAAGAGGATGGAGCTGGGGCGGGGTGGGGGAGTCTCATGAGAAGGGAGTGTTCTCACTTTCTCCGGATTCTCTGCAGAAGACAGCAGGTTGCCCCAGGGAGTATTTGTGGAAAGGAAGACTGAACTGGGAACGAGCAGAAGGAAAGGAAAGGAAAGAAATGAAGAAACTGCCAATGCACAGGCAAGGGGAGGAATTGTCATAAATAACTATTACATTTCTATAAGTTTGGTTTTTATTCTCCGTGAGTAGCAAATGTGATAGATAGAAGGCTTTAGATGAAGCTCATTAACGATCATTTTCTTTTTATTTATTTCCTAGTCCCGCATTTTATAATTTAAGGAAGCGCTTTTTAATTTTTTCTTGAAGTATATCATTTTGTGATATACTTCGTTACACGCAGAAGGTACGGCAATGGAGAATCAGAAGAAGGCCCTAGTCTGGCCTCGAAATATTATGCACAAACCTACCTACAGTGGAGGAAGTTGGTGCCTGTCCTCTTTCCCTCCTGCATAATGAAGAGCCTGGAATGATGCATTTTATGCATCGTTTTAATCTGGGTTCTTCTTCCTTAAGTTTTGATTAGCCCTGTGCTGAGAAGAGACATTGCTGATGCTGGAAAAATTTTTAAACAGGGCTTGGAGGGAAAAGAAACTGGAAACAGGAGAGGCTAGTGTGCACTTAAGGGTTTGTCCTTCCCATCCACCCACTTCCTAGGACGTGTGTACCCTTGATGCTGAAGGGGACTGAAAAGGAGTTCTGAAGGCCTACATGTTTGGGTGTGGTGTGCGTGTGGGCAAACATGTAAGATTTTCAAGTTTTGCTCTGTTATGTTCTCACCATTGAATGGGAGAATTGAGCCTGGGGCTACCCCAGGGTCGGTCAACCTCAGCACTATTGACATTTTGAGCTGGATAAATACTTTGTCATAGGTGCTGTTCTGTGCATTGTCAGGCGTTTGGCACCATCCCTGGCCTTTCCCCACTTGATGTTAACAGTGATCCTCCCCACTGGTGACAACCAAAATTGTCTTCTGGGGACAAAAATCACACCTGGTTGAGGATCATAGGGCTACCCCCAAGTCACAGATTTGTTTAAAATTAAACCAAAAGCAGAAACACCTCTTAGCTGGTGTAAGCAAAGACGGCATTGCCAAATTTGTTGGCTATTAGCATTTTATCTGCAGTTTACGGTACTTTCAGTGCCACAGCACCATGTTTGAGAGATCCAGGTAGTTCTTGTCAATAACACGTTCTGTTTATGGAGTCATGAAGAATTGCTAGCATTGGGTCAACAAGGCTGAAATTTACTCTCTGTTTGTATCCTAGGACCAGTCACTCATTTCTGGACTCATAAAGGTGTCATGTGGGGTTTCCATCAGTGCAGCTAGAGCATGAGCTTGTGCAACCCAGGCATCTGTCCTAATGGACCGGGAAGCCCAGGACTCGGTGTCCCCTGCAGCGGCAAACAGTGACGCGTAGTCACTCCTGTAGGAACTAGGTTTTCACTGTGGTGAAAGATGAGTTGAAAGAGGTCTTAAGTCACAAACAAAGAACTCAGTATCCAAATCATGAATTGTGTTGACATTGCAAGAATCCAGCTCAGGCCTTAAATATACTAGATACTCAGTATTTGCTGAATTGGTTTCCTTTTTCAGAACCCAAGTAAATGGGAGACAGCGAAGGCCTTGGGTCATCTCTTGTCTATATTCTCTCTATTTACCAGCTAAAGAGAGCATGTCTTAATTTTAGTATTGACAGTCCTGAGTCTGAATGCTAGGTCTGCTCCTTACCCTCTGTGTAGCATTAGATGTGCTACTCAACTTCCCCGTGCCTCCATTTACCAAACTGTAAAATGGGGATGGGCAGTTTCCACGTAAGTCTGTTATGAGGATTGAACAGGTTGCATATGTAACACATACAGAGTCCGGACCCCTGTTACCACTCATTATTATTTATGTCCTGATCTTAATAATATTCACAAACACCCTGTGAGAGAGACCCAGAGGGTTTGTGTAACCAGCCCGAGGTAACACAGCCATCAGGGACAGAGCGGTCCAGCTCTTCCATTATTTCAGAGATAGAGATACAGGGAGCCCCTCAGTCAGAAAGACCAGGAGGAGGCTAGCCCTATGAATCTAACCCTCTGCCAGATCATTACTATCTGTCAGCTGCGATAAAGCCCTGGATAAAATATGAGGGCAAAGTGAAATCTCATTGGTAATATTGGAAGACTAGATGTATAGGCAGATAATGCCACTCAGAAGCAAGAGGTAAAGGAGTCAAACAGTTGACATTTTAAAACCTGAAGTGGCCTGATTCAGTTCAACATTTATTGAGGTCCTATTCTGGTAGGCATACTGCTGCGAGATAAGTTATCTTGGCCTCCAGAAACCAAGAGTTTAGGAGAGGATCCTAAATATGTGCACAAAACGTGGAGGCAGAATGAGGCAGGTTTGTGGTCTAGGGACCAGGTCTGCTGGGATGAAAGAGGAAAGGGAAGTTATTTCCGCTGAAGGAAGTTTCTGCAGACTCATGGTCAGTGAATTTAAGAAAACATACAGAGAAAAAGACACTCAGGGCAGCAGCGGCAGGGAGCGCAGGTGTGTCGGGCATGGTGGGTGAGCCGCTTCAGAGAGCCTGAAGCACGCAGGGCGCTGCCCAGCGAGGCCTGGAATGCCGCACTGGCCGGGCTGGCCTCCATTCCGTGGAGGACCTGAGTGTCCCACCTCCGGTGCCCGGTGAGAGGGCCGGCAGTGGAGGAAGCTTCAGAGCGCTGCGTTGGCTGGAGTTGGAATTGACTATCCAGAAGGAGGCATATCCATTAAGAGGCTACTTAGGAGCTAGATCTCACTGCTATATGCTGCAAAGATAAAAACTTTTAAAAGAATTAATGTGCTCCGTTTATGGCGATAAATTCTCTCTCATGTATGAGCTAGTGGTTCAGAATGAGCGCTCTACTTCCAGGCGGCCTGTGCCACTGACTAGCTATCCAGTGCTGGACAACGTCCTTAACCTTGTTGTGCCTCAGTTTTCTCTTCTGTAAAATGGGAGAGTGTTATCTACTTTGTAAGGCTGCTGTGCAGTTAAAATGAGTTGACATATACTAAGCTTCAAACAGTGCCTGGTACGTGGCAAGTGTATTAAAAACGTTTCAAAAACAATAAAACCTACCCAAGCAAGTTGCTTATTCTAGAGAAATTATTTCTTTATTGCTAAATAAAAGTAGCTCAGAGCAAAGGCTTCCTTGACCAGGTGATCAGAATTAACACCAATAGTGACGAGTCGATGACGCTCCCCCCCCCCCCCGTGCGATGTGTTGAGAACAGCACTCTCTGTGATGGTCCTCCCCAAACCCCGTAAACCCAGGCCTGTTCTAGGAAACGTATCTGATGAATCCCAGAAGAACAGTTTACAAAATATCCCTCAAAACGTTCCAGGTCATCGAAAACCGGGAGAGTCAGTGAAACTGTCACAGCCGAGAGGAGCCAAAGGAGGCAGGACAGCTGGGTGTTGTGATGTCCCAGATGGGGTCCTGGGACAACCACCAAAAGGACTCTGGGTGAAAACTAAGGAAATCTAAAGAGAGCACTGACTTTAGTGAATAATCTCGCATCAGTATTGGTTACTTGGTTTTCACAAACGTGGCACAGGAATGTGACATGTTCTTCACGGGAAACTGGGTGTGGGTTCTACTGGGACTCTGTGCTATCTCTGCAGTGTTTCTGTAAACCTAAAAGGGCTCTAAAATAAAAAGTTTATTTGAAAAAATGTGGTCCATGTATGGGGAATTGTAATCAGAAGGCCCCTAAGGTTTCCTGGGATTAAGATATATCTGCTCATTGTGTGTTTGCATCACTTGAAGTAAGACCTATTGAGTGGATTTGAAAAACCTTTTAAGGAAACATTAGAGTGTCTAATTACAAGGTACAGATAACAATGATGTTTTAAAAATGTACAGAAATAATGCAACTGCCTTAAAATAAATTCAGAAAGGAGAATTGAAAATTACCCTATAACCCAACAGTTCAGCACAGCTATTATCATCATTGATTTATTCTTATAGGCATGTGTTTTTATTTGTAATAATATTTTACTTTAATTTGAATTATTCATTCAAGTTGCTATTTATGGTAATTACTATGTGCCAGAAAGTGTTTTTGAAATTGGTGGCATAGAAGACAGCAGACAAAACAAATAGTGTGCTTGACTTCACAGAGTCAAGAATATATGCTTATATTCTAGCATATGTGTATTTTTGTGTGATGCAGAAAATAAACAAATAAATATATAAAATGATAACTAGTGGAAAATGCTGTGAAAAAAATATAGTAGACCAGAAGGACAGAAAGTGTTGGGGTATGGAAGGGGTAGTTTGCTATTTTAAATAAGGTGGCCAGAAAAAGCCCATCTAATAAAGTGACATTTGAGCAAAGACCTTAAGGAAGTGAGGGACAGAACGATGTGGTTCTGCAAGGGAGCCCTAGGCAAAGTGAACATCATGTGCAAATGTCCTGAGGTGGGGATATGTTTGATGTATTCCAGGAACAGCAAAAAAGCCAACAGGTAGAGCAAGGGGAGGGGGTAGGAGATGAGGCCACAGAGGGTGCCCAGGCAAGGGTGATCGTATAGGGACTTCTAGATCATTTAAATAATTTTTATTTTTAATTAGAGTAAGATAAAAAGCCATTCAAGGGTTTTGAGTAGACAGATACTTAATCAGACTTAGGCTTCAGGTGAATCACTGTAGCTGCTATGTGAAGAATAGCAGAGAAGGGACAAATTTGGAAGCAGGTAACCTGGGTAGATGGCTCTG